TGCTTTTGAAAGCAATGCCCCGGCAGTGGTGGACTAAAACAGCAACGCGCAAACACTTCCTTCGAGGGATCACAAAGATAGCTCCACCCTCGGCAGAACATACAACTTGTCCACTTTCCCGCTCGGACAAAAACCCTCATGAAAACCCGCCCAGGGGCAGCTCAGGCAAAGTGTGCATAGGCCATCACCCGCACCTTGTCGTTGACTTCCGGGCTCGTGTGACAGCAACCCCCCCATCATCAAACAAACGTCACCAGGGTTGAGGCTCAAATCCTCGAGTGATTTTTTTCGGACGGATGTGAGCAGCACAAATGTCTGGAAGTTCACGCTTGCATTCACCTTCCGCCAGACAATACTTACAAAATACCATTAACAACTTTCTGCACGTGTTCGGGCAGTGCAATGACAAGCTATTTGTGCTTGGGTTGGCTTACAAAAAACCCCAGAAAACAGCCGTCCTCCACCACCAATTGGCTCAACAGCTGCTTCGGCACTTCCCAGAATCGGCCTTTACATTCGTCTTTCTCGATTTCCTTGTGAAACCTCGGTGCACACCGTGTATGTTATGCCGTTTCGTCTTGCGCGATGCCAACTGCCACAAAACACGGGAGATTTCAAAGGCTGCTCCGACAAAACCGGAAATAAGTATTCCCCGGAAATGTTCAGGAACCCTGCAGTGTGGGTGAAGCACCCCAAAGCGAATGGCATCTTGGAACAAAAAGGCAACCGTCGCGGGTCTCCAATATGATGGCGAAACGAAACCCATGGATGAAAAGCAGGCTCGTCAACACCAAGCAAACTTCATCAGTGCAAAATGCCGTGCCCTGACTAGGGGCTTGTTGTGGGACGCTCTCGCCAGCCGGACCGTGGCCGGCGTCAGTGCCATGAGCACCTGCAAAGTCCCAACTCGGCCGTGGTCAACGTGCCAAACCCATTGGCCACACCCCTTTGGCTTCACGGATACGGCATCCTGGGCACGGCGGCGGAACCCTACATTACCCCAATCGACCTAATGACATATTGCCGGCAACCTTTTGAGGCTGAGCATCTGCCATATTGGTAAGCCATGCGGGGTTCTGATTTTGGATGCGGGCGATCGTATCTCTCATCATCTCCTCACGGGCAGATGATACCAAAACAAGCTGCGAAGCAAGCAATCCTTGACCACACTACTTGCCAAAACACGTAACGCAATACCGAGTCTATATATATATATACTTGCAACCCGCAAATCTGCACGCGATTGCAGCCAGACACCCCAAACAGTATTGGGAGGGACCGACGTGAGACAACAGCAGAAACAGCGGCGGTGCTTGACTGGACCTCTGGACAGCACGCGTTGCATTCTCTGTCTCCGGAACTCTTGAAAGCAGTAGCACCGGTTCTGTGTAGCAGGGAGAACTTGTGCAAGAATTGTGTCTCAGGATATCTGCACAGTATCGATACTCTTGTATTACATCTCTGTCTCCGGATATCCTGAAAGCACGAAGGTCTGTGGACCATGGATCTCGTGACGACTTGGGCAAGGTCTGTGTCTCAGGAAAATCATTTCTGCTGCACTTGTACGAAATCTCTGTCTCCGGATCTCTTGAAAGTACTCGTGCTAGGAGACCTTGGAAAGACTTGCGCAAGACCGATGTCTCAGGACATTGGCTAGCGTTCTGGTTTACAAATAGTTGTGGAGACATGTATTTTGATATATACCTGCAAAATCGTGAAAATGAGAGTTGCGATAGATCTTTCGCCCAAAAAAAGTTGCTTTCGCAAATCCCTTCGCGAATCTTTCGCGGACCCTGATCTCAACACCTGAATGGCTGTCCTTTACTAAATCCGTTTCACGGACCTTTTCGATCAACCCTCAAATCTCTCAAGATCTTGCGCAGAGAGCAAGATGGCACGGTAAGTATACCGGTCAAATCCAAGCCCGACATAGCACCTTCCCTTACTCTTACCGGTAAAAAATGAAAACTCCTCTGTGGACGCACTGCTCAGTAATAAAACGCCCGGCGGATGACGCCTGGAGTGCGAAAACTTCAGGCTTGTGCTTGAAGACGGCCGACTTGAACAAGAGCCCAATGCCAGAGCCCTTCCTCAAGAAACATGAAATCCATTTCGTTGAATCCCATTGTCTGATCTCAAGCTTTGGTGGCCCATGGCCTTGCCTTTTCAGCGCAAAAAGTTTAACAACGCAAATTCCTTCACATATCATCCAACCAAGCCTTTTGAAATTAGTTTTAAAAATCCTCCAAGCATCATCCAACCAAGCTGGTGCTTGGCACCCCACCTCGGCCCGCCAAAGTCGGGCGGCGTCTTCATCCACTGCTGACAGGGAACATCGGACAAGGACTGAAGAACGTCGTTGTTTTCCTTCATGTCGCCTGCCGACGGCACCCACCGCCGCACGTGTGCCACAATGCAGTCCATGACTGCGGTGCGACGGTCTTCGGGCAAATGGTCTCGGATTACCACGAAGCTGTCCTTCTCAAGTGCGGAGCGCCACATTGCAGCCATAGAGCACAGACCTCGCTCAGGCTGCATCACTTCCACTCTGTTTGGCAGTGAGGGAATCTGCTTCTGCTTCAGGCTCACTTTCTTCGCTTTCTTGGGCTTTGCTACATCATGTTGCTTTGCAATCATCTTGGGCTTTGCCACATCGTGTTGCTTCGCAATCGTCTTGGGCAAGCCGCCCGCTGCTGGAACCAGAGTGCTTGCATCCCAATTCTTCGTGACATTCTCCCACACTCGAGAAAGAAGAGTGTAGACGGCTTTCTTGGTCTTCTCCTCCTGACGATCGATCGGGTTGGCAACTGGATCAGCAGCCGTAACCGGTGGAGTTTCATCAGAATGTCGAAACGTGATGGGGTCGAAGCCCCCAGAACCCCTCGCACAAAAATACTTGAGGCCAGGGAAAGCTAACCATGAGTCCTGGAGGTAAAATGTTTGCGGGTTTTCTGCAAACTATTGGCACTGGGCATGGACCGCGATGGGGGTACGATCAGGATCACGTTCATGATGATGATTTTGATGATGATGATGAGGATGAGGATGAGCTCCGTTTGCAAGCTTCTGCTTGGGAACCGCATCACACTCTCCGAAGATGCAGGGAAGAAGATGATGCTGATGATGATGATGGTGGTGATGATGACGATGATGATGATGATGTTGATGATGATGATGATGCGATAGAATTGAGAGGAGGAGGATGAGGAAGACATCGAGGAAGACACCGGGGTTGGCGCGGTTCGCGGGGTTCTCGGCACGGGGTTGGCAAGGTTGGCGGGGTTCACGGGGTTGGCGGGGTTCTCGGGGTTCTCAGGGTTGGCGTGGTTCGCTAGGTTCGATGGTTAGTTGTTGTCTATCCTACCATTCTGCTGTTTGAAGCTTTTGTTGCATAGTTCCTAACAGTCCATCTCTCTCTCGGGGGAGCCGGGCCCACCCTCATTCGTGCGAAACATCAAGCTTTAGGGCATGGAGCCTATCCCAACATATTGCTAAAACAAAGAAGAACTCCAGCTAGCACAGCTAGCTTTCGTGTTAAAGCAGCAAAGAGCTCCTTGAAGGTCATCTTGATTTGCACACCACTTGTTGCAACACCTTGGAAGCAGGGTGGAACCTTTTCAGAGTGTCTTGGGTCCTCTTGGCCCCCCCTTGGGTTCTGTATCTCTGCTAGTGATCTTATTTGGGCCAGATTGTGGCCAGAGCAGCCAACAAAGTGCAGCAAAGGAACTGTCAGCACGACCGCTGTCTCTCAAAGCAGCTACTGCAGACGTTCGTTTGCCGCAATCCATGTCCAAGCACCATTGCTTGGAAGAGCGGCCGTCTTTGAACGGCATTTTGCGGTCCGAAAAGCATGAAAAAACCTGATCATTTGGCGCTTCTTCCCGTAGCTTGCTACTAGCATGTTCGAAACCAAAACCTGAGGACCGTGTGAATCTGAGGATTCATCACTTCAAGTTGTGGCTCGTACTTGTTTTTTGCAGCTGGGACGAAGTCAAACGGAGTTCAGTTCACCACTACACATGGACGCCCAGCTTTTGGCTTCGGGCTTCGGCCGGGCGTGATCCAAGTCCAACGATATCCAACGATCACTCCAACGATATCCGACGGTGACTCAACCTGAAGAGTCGAAACTGTTGCAACCTCATGAGCATTGTGACAAAACAAGTACATCCTCATTGGTCTGTTTTTAAAGCTTGGGTTTAGATGTCACGGTTTAACATGTTTCAACCAACTCTTGGCTACAACAGGTGGCAAACAACTTGGTGATATCAAACCTTCTGCAAACTGTGCGGTTTTCTGGTAAAATGTGGTTATTTCTGGGATATTTGGGCGGTCCACGTCACCCCTTTTGCTGTTCACCCCC